TTAAATGCCAGACATAACTGGATTATAGAATGTGCAGATTTTACGTTGCGAAACTCTGTGAAGCGGTATTTTCAACCGGAGTTCCTTTTATTTTGCAAATATAGTACAGGCAACCCCCGTTTTGCACGGGTTCAAAGCATGAGCGACTGTGCATGCATGGGCTGATTCTGGAGCCGGAACGGGGCAGAACGGGACAGAACAGAGCTGGGTGGGCTTATGCATGCTCTGCCAACACGTGCAATGACCAGGAATGCAACCCCCACACAAATAATTCTTAAAGACACGGCAAACAGGATCCTATTCACTTCAGGGTCACTGGCAGGGTTAAGGCCTGGTTCAACATTAAGACTAGTTCACCATCTGAAGCAGCTCCAGGCCACAGCTGGTCTATTTGCTTTAAAGTCCGCAATGCAGAATACATCCCCTTTGGATGGAGAAAACCAACCTCTGACCTAGTGCAACAACGGACAAGGTAGAATCCAGTCAATTACTTCCTCCAGGTGGAGGGTTTTAAAGCCTTTTAACTGGGCTTTAACAACACAACCATACCATTTCCCTTAAAAAGCAGATGACTTGGTGGTGGTGGTGGTTGGGACTCTGCCTGGATTTTTCTCTGCCAGACTCTAGCAGCAGCAGGAGAACCAGGGGGGCGGCAGGGCCCCTCCATGCCAGAGGTCCCAAGCTACGGCCAAGTGGGTGGTAAACTCCCCCTGGCAGTTCTTCCACTGGCAGTAATGTGCAAAATAGGGCCCTTTGGCCGTTTTCCTCAAACGTGGGTCTGCAGCAGTTGTTGGACTACAACTCCCATCATCCCTAGCCAGCAGGACCAGTGGTGAGGGATGATGGGAGCTGTAGTCCAACAACTTCTGGAGACCCAAGTTTGAGAAACACTGGTAGGGTGTTGTGGTTTGGGGATCACAGGATTCAAAGCCTGGAGAGGACGTGCTGGGGAAAAACCTCCCTCCACCACCTTCTGAAAAATCAACAGGCTTGCCAAGGATCAGTTTTGCATCTGGATGCAGCCACCTGGGCACCCCCGGCTTAAAGCATCATAAAATGAATGCAGGAAAGTGACCCTTAGCAAGATACTAACGGCTTAACAATTTAACAAACTTCCATCAGGTTTCAATATTGGTGGGACACAGCTACTATACTCGACTTTCTGATCACACACAAAAAGGAAAGAAGCCATTCTGAAAACACTGGTCGTCATACAAAGAAGAAATGATTTCTTCCATGGCATTCACGAGTTTGTCGCTTACATTTTGCTTTCGCGCTGCCTCCAGCCCAACCACCGGCGACACAAAGTATAGCATCGACTTTTTCTTCGCCCAGGAGTTTTCCAACATCTTCTGTCACCTTTAAATATGCGAAGACAAAGAAGTAGTGGGGGGGGTGTCAGTTCCAAGAGAAATACCTGGAATTTGTATACTCCCAAATCTCAAAACTGCAATTTTCTCAGACCTACATCTAATACAGGAATTGAAGCAAGGTGGGAAACAAGTGCCTGAAGTGACGGGGGGGGATGAGGGGGGGTAGCTGATCTCCCCTCACCTGTGTGCTACTTTTCATGTAAGAAATAGGATCCACCCGCATTAGGATTTGAGCAAGGCAGGCAAATCAACAAACACACACACAACCCATGTCACGTTTAACCGTCAGAACCAGGCTTTAGAAATCAGGGAAAGTATATGTAATGGAATATAATGGAACTAGGCTTAATATAAGCCAGTGCTTGCCAGGACTAAATCCCAAATCCTGAAATCTCTTTCCAATCCACAACCCTGGATTGGGGTGGGTTTGACCGCAATGCCTGAAGACGGTTTTGGGTCAATAAAACCTTCCACACCTCAAATTAGAAGGCAGGGCTTCTAGAACAGTGGATGTCGGTTCCAAGCAAATCGGAGGTAATATAGACTCCTCTTTTTAGAACGGAACCAATAAATATGGGGGAAGGAAGAACAAGCGACAGAAAAACAAGCATGGGAGTTGACGTAGGTGTGCCAAGATCACCAGTCCATTTTATCTTAACACGCTTTTAAAATGATATACCGCAAAATATTTCAACGATATATATCTCTCTCTCTCACACACACATATTCATGCTACCCAGGCCCTTTTGACTTGAGTTTGTTATCACACAACTCAGGCAGACCTTTAAAAGGGATAGGCAGCATCTTGAGCCAAGATGTTCCCACCTGAATGTTCCCCAGGGTTATTACATCCCTGCCCTAATATTGGCAGCTGAACCTTTAACAACTGCACGGCAGGCAGAAGTTAAGTCAGTATGGCTCCTCCTAGTGATGGGGCAAATGGAAGAAAATGCACCGACTGAATTTTCTGCCTTTCATAAAGCTGATGAGGGTGAAGAAGCTGTCGGAAAGTCTTTCCCAAGAGGCAAGAACTTTTCACACAGAAAACAGGATCTTATTTTAGGCAACTGCTATTATTTTGCAACCCAGAAGCTGCCCCAACATCTTTCTGCTTTCATTTTAATTGCTTCCAAAATGGCACAAACAATACCATGCACCTTACCTGATCTGCTTGTTCAACGAAGGAATCGCTCATTTTCACAACAACGTTGGCACTCGCTTCTTCGTTTTCTCCCAAGTCAATGCTGGCCACCCACTGATTTAAAAAGAAAAAAGTTTTCTGTTTAAAAAGCGATTTACTGTACTTATTTCGTGTTTTTGTCTTTTGCACCAGAAAACAAAAGTATTTCCTAAAACCGTTTCAAAGGGAAACAGGGAGGAGTGTCCATTCTTTCATTGCAGATTTATTTCAGGTATGTTGCCCATACAGTGGTACCTCGGGTTAAGTACTTAATTCGTTCTGGAGGTCCGTACTTAACCTGGAACTGTTCTTAACCTGAAGCACCAATTTAGCTAATGGGGCCTCCCGCTGCCGCCACCGCAGCACAATTTCTGTTCTCATCCTGAAGCAAAGTTCTTAACCTGAAGGACTATTTCTGGGTTAGTGGAGTCTGTAACCTGAAGCGTATGTAACCCGAGGTACCACTGTACTTTGCGCACTTCCTCAGGCTCAAGCCCCAAAACAGGACAGCTTTTCCCCCTATATCGAAAGAGCCCTTTGTTCTTTCCCATCTCCCCAACAAGTATTGAAAGTGTCCCCTTGCGCTTCCTTTAACGCGCCGCGTAAAATTGCTGTTTCGGGGATGCGCGGGGATAAGGAGCGCTGGCTGCGCCCGACAACCTGCAGCTTCGTCTACCGAGAGCATAAAAAAAAAAAAACTTTAAGGAAAGGGACAGGACCAAGGGCCGCCGGGCAAGTCCGTGGCAGAGCGAGCGGCTGCTGCGACGCGCAACCCGCGCGCCTCCTTTTGCAGCGAGGCGGATGGAGCTCTTTGCGCACACACGCGCGCGTTACGCGTTGCGCCGGGAAGGCCCGGGGAATGAAAGCTTGGGATTAGGCTTGGGAACGGCGCTCCGTGCAGACGCAGCCGATCTGCAGAAACGCCAAGAGCGCCTTGTTCGCCACCACCCTCGATTCGTCCCCACGGGGCTGCTGCCCTTACCCAGTTCTTCCCTCGGAAGTAGCGCACGCATTGGGAGCCCAGGGCGCCCCGGCCGCCATACACGAGGACCCGGCGCGCTTCGGCCGCCGCCATGGCTCAGCCTCGCCTGCAGCCGCCTTTCGCCTCCGGCCCGGGATCGGCGAGCGGCCGCAAACGCTCCGCCTTCCCAAGAAGGAAGGATCTTGCGCGGAGGAGGAGAGAGAGAGCGAAGCGCCTCCCTCGCTGCTGCACCGATGGCGCAAGCGCCCCCTTGCCCTGGAAGCTGGGAGCAGGGTTTTCCCGAGGGAAAGAGCTGCGTTTGTTTGGAAAGGGGAAATAAACAAAAAAGTATAACCGCATCAATGAGTTCAGAAGCGTAACAATGTACCAATATTTCCTTAAACTGGTGCGACCTTTTTTTGTGTGTGTGACTGTGGAACCCAGTTCAGCTACTAATTGATTGATTGATTGATTGATTGATTGTGTGGCTGCAGTACATTGTTTATTGTCAGGCACTATAATTATTGATGAGGCACTAAGTTACTGGAGGTAATGGGGCCCTTTATATGTCCAGCTGTCCTTTGTCAACAACAAATTGTCACTGTTTTTTTGTGTTGAATATATGTTATATGGTAATTTATGGACCTAATAGGTATCTGAAGCCATTTGCACATGCAGAATGTAGGCACCCTGTATAGAGAAATGAGCAAACCAGTGATATTTTAGGGAGCAGGCTAGCAGGCGGGGCCCATTACTTACATCATAGGAGTCTACACAACACAAAACACTGTTGCTGTATGTAGGTTTTATTTTATTTGTTTTTTATCTTATATTTTTGAAATGTACATCCAGTTTTTTCCCCCTTTTAATTTTTTTGGTTGGGGCCCCCAAGAAAGTGGGGCATAGCTTGTTTAGCTTATATGCTGGACCATAAAGAAGGCTGATTGCCGAAGAATTGATGCTTTTGAGTTATGGTGCTGGAGGAGACTCTTGAGAGTCCCATGGACTGCAAGAAGATCAAACCTATCCATTCTGAAGGAAATCAGCCCTGAGTTCTCACTGGAAGGACAGATCCTGAAGCTGAGGCTCCAATACTTGGCCAGCTCATGAGAAGAGAAGACTCCCTGGAAAAGACCCTGATGTTGGGAAAGATTGAGGGCACAAGGAGAAGGGGACGACGGAGGATGAGATGCTTGGACAGTGTTCTCAAAGCTACTAACATGAGTTTGACCAAACTACAGGAGGCAGTGGATGATAGGAGTGCCTGGCGTGCTCTGGTCCATGGAGTCATGAAGAGTCGGACACAACTAAACGACTAAACAACAACAACAAAATCCAGCACTGTTTATTACTTTCATTTTATGGATCAGTGGTCTCGTTAGATAGTAAAATTCATGTTGAATCGCTGTTTTAGGGGTTGTTTTTAAAAGTCTGGAACGGATTAATCCATTTTGCATTACTTTCTATGGGAAAGCTTGCCTTGGTTCTGGAACGCTTTGGTTTTGGAACGGACTTCTGGAACAGATTAAGTTTGAGAACAAAGGTACCACTGTACAGAAGTTGTGTATGGTGAAGGAGACCATCACTCAGGCTGATGCTGTGCAGTACAGCGGCACTGTTTTCCCAACAGCAACACTGCACGCTTGCAGTCCCCAAAACAGCTCTTTCTCACCAGTCACCTCTGCAAACTGAGGCATATTCGTGCTACACCTATCAATTGCCAAACTGTTGTCTTCATTCCCATTCCAAACAGGCGAGGTGTCTTCAAAAGCTAACCAGCAGCCATAAAAGAGACATCGATGCTCGTTAAGCAAGCTTCTTCAGCTTTATGAGGTTATTTTGCATTTCCCAGCAATATGCTTGAGCTTGCAACTGTGCAATGCAGGAACAGCACGTGCTTCTCCAAGCTGCAACCAATTTGCGTTCCCCTTTACGCCCAGAAGGTTGTTCTAATTGCAAGCCCAGACATCCAGAAATATTGTGTATCTATTTCATTTAATAGTATTGGAAAGCAGAGTATCATTAATTTGGGAGAGATGACAGTAATGACATTTAGGAAACGCAAACAAACTCAAGGAGATGGCCGCTTGGTGCCATACAGCCAGTGGAATTCTGATGTCAAATTCTAACCTAGTTTGCTTCCTAGCAATAATTTGAGACTTGGCAACAAACTGAACAAGCATGTGCAATTGAACAAGCTGCTAAACATCTCCCAGGTCAGAAATGGAAGTCATTTGACTATTTAAAACAGGTGAAGAATTTGAGCCTTTGAATGAAACACTAGTCATGTAACAGATATGGTGTTTCTCTCTCAACAACAAGCACCGTTGCCGTGCAGAGAGATGACGCTCTTCTTTGTCATCCTTGTGGATTATTGTACAAAATTGATCTTTTGGAGCTGGTTTTTGATCTGCACATCTCAGTTTGTGAATTAGAAAAGATGCTGAAAAGATGAACCGGCAAGCACTGCCTGAAAAAGATCCAACATCTATAATTACTGCTGGGAGATCCTGAAAGATGATTTATTTGAGACATTAGAATGCCCAGCTACTTCAAATGGGCTGTCTTTGCTTCCATCGCTGTGTTGAGCTTTGCGTCTTTTATCTTGATCCTCGTTGCAATGAGCACCCAGAAATGGATGACCGGAAAAATCCTTTGCAAAACAGGAGCTGAGCTGGTCAATGCCACAGACCCAGAGCTAGTCAAATTCATGGGGGAAATTTACTACGGACTCTTTGGAGGTGGCAAAATACGCCAATGTGGGTTAGGTGGGCGGCGATCCAAATTCACAAGTAAGTAACACTTTTGGTTCATTTCTCGAATGTGCGCCTATTGACCATACATTTTCTTTATGTTTTCTTTATGCGAAACATTGGGATTTTACCTCTGTGGCTTGTTTTATGAGTTATTTTATTTTTTTCTTCTCAAATTGGAGTAAAAAATGTGGGTATATTTTAAAAACTGCTCTCCTTGACTGAAATGTGGGGACTTGAAGAGGACCCCCCCCCCAATACCCATGGCCCTTAGATGCTGAAATAGGATCCTGATGGGGAGAGGAATAAGAAGATGGGGGGGGGGACCATGTTGAGACAGGGGTCATGGGGAAAGAAGCAAGTCTGGCGCTGAGGGCAGGACTGGTTCCCCGCTTTGACAAGGCAAGGGAAGAATGAGTGGCCTAAAATGAGTCCTTTGGGTTGGACAAAGGTCTACTTATAAGTAAAATCAGGACTGGAAGTGAGGGCAAGGGAGCCAGGAAACAGATGTGGTCAGTGGAGGAGAAAGGGTGCTTCCAGGCCAGTCCTGTTCTGGGAATCATATACTGGCCAATTAAAGCTGTGCAGTTTGGAATACTGGTGAGATAAATGTCCGGCTTAGGCCAAAGAGAATCCTTCTTCTCCCACTGCTTTTGTCTGATGTGGTTGTCGGCTATTGTTTCTGAGACACCTGCACCGATCAGAAGCTGCTCCTTGGTTTTTGAACATTTCGAAAGTCAAGCGGACTTCCGGAAAGGATTAAGTCTGGCGCTTTTGTTTTTGCCATTTATTTTGCGTTTTTGAGGCTTTTTTGGCTAACTTGTTTTTGTGACTGTGTGGAGCCCAGTTCAGCTACTGATTGATTGTGTGACTGCGGAAATGGATAAAAGCCCCCCCATCCAAACTATGACTACCATCAGTGCAGGTAAGTAAAAAAAATAATTTTAATTATTTTCATCTACAACACTGTCTTATTATTTTATAGTACAGTACATTGACTATTGCTTTCATTTTATGCATCAGTAGTCTTGTTAGATAACAAAATTCATGTTAAATTGCTGTTTTAGGGGTTGTTTTTAAAAGCCTGGAATGGATTGATCCGTTTTGCATTACTTTCTATGGGAAAGCATGCCTTGGTTTTGAAATGCTTTGGTTTTGGAGCAGACTTCCGGAACAGATGAAGTTAGAGAACCAAGGTACCACTGTAATCCCAAGTCCAGTAGCATCAGCACTGGAGGGAAAACCAGGCGAGATGTGGTGCAGCAATAAAACTGCTACCACCTTTGCAAAGCTAAGCAGGGTCCGACATGGTTTCAAATTGGATGGGGGGACCATGTGTTGAGATTCTTGAACTGCAGGAACTCCCACAGGGTCCATTCCGGCTCTACAATTCTATGATTCTGTTGTTCAGTGGTTCTACGTGGGATCTCCCTGACAATTAGGTTCATAGTTTGCAGGTTCTCCTAGATCAGGGGTCTGCAACCCGCGGCTCCGGAGCCGCATGTGGCTCTTTTACACCTTTGCCGCGGCTCCGGGGCGGATACTAGCGAGGGGAGGAGGCAAATTGTGCACCCCGACACTCCCCACTGTGGTGGGCGCTGTACTGGCTGTGACGTCACATGGGGGCGGTGCGTGCGTTAGTCACGCACCGTCCTGACGTCACCTTCCCGCCCGCTGTCAGATCGGACATTAAGGTAAGAAACAATATATGCAGTGTTATATTTGTTTTAAATGTTGCAATGGTTTTGCGGCTCCCAGGTTTTTTTCCTTCGGAAACGGGTCCAAGTGGCTCTTTTTGTCTTAAACGTTGCAGACCCCTGTCCTAGATGCAGCTTGGTCTCTGGAGGCCAAAATAGCCTATGGAGCTTGGAGGGCTAAGGCTGGTGCAGCTGTGGCCCCACAGGCAGTATGGGCACGGTTATCTGTGCACTGGTAGCATCCTGGATTGATTTTGGCAATACCTTTGAAGACACCTTGGATACTGCAGTCAAAATACATCCACTGGCTTACTCTGGGAATAGGTGTACGTTTCTGTTGGGGATAATTCAGACTGAAATTCCCAGGCGTCAAAAAAGATTATTTATGTCTGCTACTACTACGGCCCATGTTTTGTTAGTCCAAAAATGGAAAATGAGTGAGTTCCCAACCAAAGATTGGCAACTTGAGTTGACTGAATATACACAACTTGCAGACTTAACATATAGAATAAGAGAACAAGGAGAACATACGTTTAAAGAAGATTGGAAAACGTTTATTGCACATATGGAAAATAGTTGTGTACAGCTGAAAATGCTGGCAGCATTAAGATAAATGCAACAGTGTAAGTAAGTTTTGATGGATGCAATCATGGAATACTGAATGGTATAGTTTTGGTAAAATATGCAGGCATTTATGATATGTAAAATCAACCATAGAAAGGGAAGAAGGGAAGTCATTGATATCTCAAGGATGTAAAATGAGTATTTTAGATTGTAAAACAGAAATTTTAATAATATGTATATATAAGTCCACATATTATTAAAATATATAATAAGTATATATAAGTCCGGGACGCGGGTGGCACTGTGGGTAAAACCACAGTGCCTAGGGCTTGCCGATCGTATGGTCAGCGGTTCGAATCCCCGTGGCGGGGTGAGCTCCCGTCTTTCAGTCCCAGCTCCTGCCCACCTAGCAGTTCGAAAGCACTCTTAAGTGCAAGTAGATAAATAGGTACCGCTTTCTAGCGGGAAGGTAAACGGCGTTTCCGTGTGCTGCGCTGGTGCCGGCTTGCCAGAACAGCTTCGTCACGCTGGCCACGTGACCCGGAAGTGTCTTCGGACGGTGCTGGCCCCCGGCCTCTTAAGTGAGATGGGCGCACAACCCTAGAGTCGGACACGACTGGCCCGTATGGGCAGGGGTACCTTTACCTTTACCTATATATAAGTCCACTGGTTGCTGGTTCACTGTTGTGCATAATTCAAAGTATTGTGCTTGCTTTTAATACCCTGCATAGTTTTGGATCTAGGTACCTCAAATAATATATGTTTCCATACAAATGTGTCCATATATTGTGGTAATAGACAAACCCAGCACTATCATTAGGCAGAGTGAGACAACCACCTCAGTCCATAAATGCTGGGAAACACTGGAGACAGCCCTCCCAGTGGTTCAGAGCGGTGGACTTGTAATCTGGTGAACCGGGTTTGTGTCTCCGCTCCTCCACATGCAGCTGCTGGGTGACCTTGGGCTAGTCACACTTCTTTGAAGTCTCTCAGCCCCACTCACCTCACAGAGTGTTTGTTGTGGGGGAGGAAAGGAAGGGAGATTGTGAGCCGCTTTGAGATGCCTTAGGTTATAAAGCGGGATATCAAATCCAAACTCCTCCTCTTCTTCTTTCGTTGGTCCTGAGGACTTCCTTGCATTTGCATTTCTAGCCTGTTTCCCTTGGTTATGGAAGTAAGATTCAACTGGCAACCCAATCTGTTTCCATACATGGAATTGGGAGTGGAGCCGTTCAGGGCCGGCCCAAGACATTTTGGCACCTGAGGTGAACTGCAAGATGGTGCCGGCCCTGCCAGGGAAGAAGGGAGGAGTGAGAAGCTACACTGGGAACCAAAAGGGAATAAAGATCTACATTGGGGAGGAGGAGAGGAGGGCGACCAGCTGATTTCAAAACCACCTACAGAATTAACACATATGTGAATAACTTAAAAGAAGTACTGTGAGGGGGGGGAGTATTTGATCCCCTGCTAAATTTGCCCGTTTGCCCTCTGACGAAGAAATGACCGGTCCATAATTTTAATGGTAGGTTTATTGTAGCTGTGAGAGACAGAATAACAACAGGAAAAACCCCAGAAACCCAGAAGACAAAAGTCAGAGATTGATGTGCATTATAATGAGTGAAATAAGTATTTGATCCCCTATCAACCAGCCAGATGTCAGGCTACCTGGTATCTTCACTGGATGCAATGAGCTGAGATTAGAAGGACCTGCTGTAAGGGAGAGGTCTTATTGCTTTTACAGTGGTACCTCGGGTTAAGTACTTAATTCGTTCCGGAGGTCCGTACTTAACCTGAAACTGTTCTTAACCTGAAGCACCACTTTAGCAAATGTGGCCTCCTGCTACTGCCGCACCGCCATAGCACGATTTCTGTTCTCACCCTGAAGCAAAGTTCTTAACCTGAAGCACTATTTCTGGGTTAGTGGAGTCTGTAACCTGAAGCGTATGTAACCTGAAGCGTATGTAACCCGAGGTACCACTGTATATTGTTTTTATCTTTTTTTGTACACCACCCTGGGAACAATTTGACAGAAGGGGAGCATGAGAAAGAGGAGGAAAGAAAGTTTAGGCATCTTTAGAAAGCTAAGATAGTCAAGGCATCTAACGAACTTTGGAAACCACACCCCAAAATGGGGGGGGGGTTGGAGCTGTCAGTAGTAGGGTCCAAAATTGTGTCTTCCTCCCCTCCACAGGGGGGACACACTCAGATTTGATCCTGGTTCCTGAAATATTTGATTGCAATGAATATGAATTCTAATATTTTTCGATACTTATTGCTGCAATCCTATACACACTTAGCTGCAATCCTAACCCCACCGAGGACTGCATTCAATAGGACTGAATTCTGAGTAGACGTGGTTAGGATTGCACTGTTAGTAGATTAATAAAACACTGAACAAGGCCCGTTATCATTTTAATTAGTACCTGAAACTAGAACCTAAAAAGTTCACCTGACTTTAGTTGCAGCTTTTCAGGTCACTGAAGATGAGTCCTATTGTCACCGCAGAAGCAATTGATCTATTACTCCACATCTCTGGTGCTTGGTTAAATTACCTTGACCTGTCATAAACAGAGCTTAACTGTTTAACATTATACATGCAGTCAGAGCACAAGAGAATTCTCATTCTCATGGTGAATAGCAACTACTGTACACTCTTCAAAATCTAACGCTTTTATATCATCTGAACAGATGGAACATCTTCCAAGGAAGTAATTTCCCATTAATCTTGAATGGAAAGTCTTCATAGCCTTTGTGGGTCCTGCCACATTTACACAACCCAAAACTCAATGTTGCTTTCTTTTCCTTGTCAGTATTTCCGCACCTGGTGAAGAAATTGAACACAGCTCTCCATGTGGCAATTATCCTTTTCCTCTGCGTGGCGTTTTCTTTTGCTCTGGTCAGTTTGGCATTCTGCATATTCAACATAATTAAAGTTCCCTATCGGGCTATTAAAGGTCCAGCTGGAATCGCCTTGTGGAACGTCCTTGCAGGTAAAATGTCGGATGGCACCCACCTTTTCCTTTTGCTAGATTAAGAGTTTGCTTTCCATTATCTCTCCATGTCACTAAACGCTCTTAGGGAAATTTCCATTGGCGTCATTAGGTATGTGTAGTCTAGACAAGAGGAGACTGAGAGGAGATAGGATAGCCATCTGCAAACATCTAAAGGGCTGTTACGGGGAAGATGGAGAAAGCTTGTTTTCTCCCATTCCAGAGGGTAAGACCTGAACCAATGGCTTCAAGTTACAAAAAAGAAGATTCAGACTAAACATCAGAAATAACTTTATGTGGGCAATGATTTTGCAAAGTTTTTTGCAGATAAAATCGCTCAGATTCGGGAAGAAGTAGACTCCACCGTGGGAGCAGGGCCAGGATGGGAGAGTGCTAGAGTTCTGTCTAGTCAAGTTGAGTGGGATCAATTCCAATCTGTTACCTCCGAGGATGTGGACAGGCTGCTTGGACAAGTGAAACCAACCACCTGTCTCCTGGATCCTTGCCCATCCTGGCTTATAAAAGCTAGCCGGGAAGGACTGGGCGATGGGCTTCGTGGGGTGGTGAATACTTCCCTCCGTGAGGGAGCCTTCCCAGACCCGCTGAAAGAGGCGGTTATTAAACTGCTTCTTAAAAAACCATCTTTAGATGCGGCCACAATGGCCAATTATCGCCCAGTCTCAAATCTTCCATTCCTGGGCAAGGTGATTGAGCAAGCGGTTGCCGAACAACTCCAGGCACGCCTGGAAGAAGGGGACCATTTGGATCCCTTCCAGTTGGGATTCAGGCCTCATCATGGGACTGAAACTGCCTTGGTCACACTGGTTGATGATCTCCGGCGGGCTAGGGACAAAGGTGAGAGCTGTTTCCTAGTTCTGCTGGATCTCTCAGCGGCGTTTGATACCATCGACCATAGCATCCTTTTGGACCGTCTTGAGGGGCTGGGAGCTGGGGGCACTGTCATACAGTGGTTCCGCTCCTTCCTCCTGGGCCGTGTTCAGAAAGTGGTGGTGGGGGATGAGTGTTCAGACCCCTGGGCTCTCACTTGTGGGGTGCCTCAGGGTTGTGTCCTCTCCCCCATGCTTTTCAACATTTACATGCAGCCGCTGGGAGAGATCATCAGGAGGTTTGGGCTGGGTGTTCATCAGTATGCGGATGATACCCAGCTCTACCTCTCTTTTAAATCAGAACCAGTGAAGGCGGTGAAGGTCCTGCGTGAGTGTCTGGAGGCGGTTGGAGGATGGATGGCGGCTAACAGATTGAGGTTGAATCCTGACAAGACAGAAGTACTGTTTTTGGGGGACAGGAGGCGGGCAGGTGTGGAGGATTCCCTGGTCCTGAATGGGGTAACTGTGCCCCTGAAGGACCAGGTGCGCAGCCTGGGAGTCATTTTGGACTCACAGCTGTCCATGGAGGCACAGGTCAAATCTGTGTCCAGGGCAGCTGTTTACCAGCTCCATCTGGTACGTAGGCTGAGACCCTATCTGCCCGCGGACTGTCTCGCCAGAGTGGTGCATGCTCTGGTTATCTCCCGCTTGGACTACTGCAATGCACTCTACATGGGGCTACCTTTGAAGGTGACTCGGAAACTACAACTAATCCAGAATGCGGCAGCTAGACTGGTGACTGGGGGTGGCCGCCGAGACCATATAACACCGGTCTTGAAAGACCTACATTGGCTCCCAATACGTTTCCGAGCACAATTCAAAGTGTTGGTGCTGACCTTTAAAGCCCTAAACGGCCTCAGTCCAGTATACCTGAAGGAGCGTCTCCACCCCCATCATTCTGCCCGGACGCTGAGGTCCAGCGCCGAGGGCCTTCTGGCGGTTCCCTCATTGCGAGAAGCAAAGCTACAGGGAACCAGGCAGAGGGCCTTCTCGGTAGTGGCGCCCGCCCTGTGGAACGCTTTTCCAGCAGATGTCAAAGCGATAAACAACTACCTGACATTCAGAAGACATCTTAAGGCAGCCCTGTTCAGGGAAGTTTTTAACGTGTGATATTTTACTGTATTTTTGGGTTCTATGGAAGCCGCCCAGAGTGGCTGGGGAGGCCCAGCCAGATGGGCGGGGTATAAATAATAAATTATTATTATTATTATTGACAGTGGACCAGACTCCCTCGGAAGGTACTAGACCATGGGTAGGCCAACTAAGGCCTGGTGGCCGGATCCGGCCCAATTGCCTTCTAAATCCGGCCCGCGGACGGTCCGGGAATCAGCGTGTTTTAACATGAGTAGAATGTGTCCTTTTATTTAAAATACATCTCTGGGTTATTTGTGGGGCCTGCCTGGTGTTTTTACATGAGTAGAATGTGTGCTTTTAATTAAACTGCATCTCTGGGTTATTTGTGGGGCATAGGAATTGGTACTTTTTATTTTTTCCCCAAATTATAGTCTGGCCCCCCACGGTCTGAGGGACAGTGGACTGGCCCCCTGCTGAAAAAGTTTGTTGACCCCTGTGCTAGACTCCTCCTTACTTGGAGGATTTTAAGCATGGAGCAAAATGCCTCTACAATTCTCCGTTTCTAAACTATTTTTGCGTTTCAGTGCCTTTGTGTTTTGAATTCTCTTGCAGGTGGCTTTGCAGTGCTGGGTGTGACTAGCTTCATGGCTGCCGTCAAACTGCACAACCTGACTGAAAGGATTGCCAATTTCCAGGAAAACGTCTTCCAGTTTGTGATCCTGGAAGAACAGTATGAAGACTCTTTTTGGCTTTGCGTGGCAAGCGCGACCATTCATGGTGTGAACTTGCTGCTAGTTGCCATCAGCGCAATTCATTTCCCTAAGCGGAAGACAAAGACAGAAGAAGCAAATGTTGCAGCCGAAGACATCATGTACTGAATACCTAACTTGGCTGGCCCCAAGCTTAAGACTTGCATCATCTGTTTATCTGCACTATGCGAAAGAAGGGTAACGCTACTGTCGGAAGGAGTGCCTGAGTGTGGAGGAAGTGCAGCGAGAGCCACAAGTTGGTTGGTTCATGCAAATGCTGAGACCAAAATGCCCCTGGAGGGTCCACTAAGCCAAGAAGACCATTCCCACATTCCATTAAACTCCTGGGAAGCTTGAGTCTTTCCCACACTGGGTCAAAATTTCCCAGGAGGCCAGCACAAAGCAAGAAGACCCCTTCCCATTCTCTCACTTGGACCTTGCCCATAGAACTCCAAAACTGTACAGCTCATCTGAGGAGGACGTTTGCCTCGGGTACAATGCTGTGCAATGGGTAATTTATGCCTGGACTCACTCAAAGGTAGTTTAAAACACAGAGGAAAAAGCACATACCACCTCAGAATGTGGGTGTGACATTTTTCTGAATGCTCCCAGCCTAAAAATCCTTATGTGCAAAGTTAACATGGCGGGAGAAGGGCTGTGCAGAGATCTTTCTCCCTTGACCACCTGGCTTTCCACATTTGCAGTGGAGGCCTCGACTTTAGAGTGAATGGGGTACTGAATAGCCTGGAGAAGAGGAGGTTAAGGGGTGATATGATAGCCATGTTCAAATATAGAAAAGGATGTCACATAGAGGAGGGAGAAAGGTTGTTTCCTGCTGCTCCAGAGGAGCGGACATGGAGCAATGGATCCAAACTACAAGAAAGAAGATTCCACCTAAACATTAGGAAGAACTTCCTGACAGTAAGAGCTGTTTGACAGTGGAATTTGCTGCCAAGGAGTGTGGTGGAGTCTCCTTCTTTGGAGGTCTTTAAGCAGAGGCTTGACAACCATATGTCAGGAGTGCTCTGGTGGTGTTTCCTGCTTGGCAGGGGGTTGGACTCGATGGCCCTTGTGGTCTCTTCCAACTCTATGATTCTATGATTCTACTGCCTCACCAACCCTAGTTGGCCCTCAGTGTACTACCAACTGCCTGTCTTCCTTCTTTCTGACCAGTCCAGGGGGCGGGACGCATGTGGCAATTAAAAATAATAATAAAAGGGGGCAGGGTTCCAGGAAAAATGACTTTGGCAATCCCACCTGCCGTTGACGATATGCAATTTTGGCTTTCGGCACAATCACCGGAATGCAAATTGCGGGCTTACTGTGAGCACATTCTCATGTGATACCATCCTGTGGTTTGTGCCAGAAGCTTCTTCTGACGATTCAGACGGAGATTTGAGCAGACTCTTGCTGATGGTGGTTGTTTCTCTGCAGGCTGGCTCAAGCTGTTTTGCTATCCTTTACAAAAATCATTACAGGCCTGGCACACAGATACTAGTCACATCGTATAACATGTGGAGAGGGCAATTGCGATTTGTCTGAGAGTTTTCCCATCCCCTTTTTCTGCTGCCCAGAAGAGAATGGAGTCAAGAAAAAGCACCGTAATTGATGCGTGTATGTGATACATTTCACAAGTCCCAGGCTCTGCTATTACAAGGGTTTTTTTTGCTCCGTAGAAGTGAATGGAGCAAAAGTCTCAATTTACTTGAATGAAGCCAGGTTTTAAAAAGACTGCAATGGAGGGGAAATGTACATACAGTGTGACAAAGCACACCAGATATATTGTTCCAAAGGTGGGCAGGGGTGAATTGTGTGTTTCCAGTTACCTTGGTGCTCCTGGGTTTTCTACTGCTCCAAGCAGTGGATTTTTGGCTGGTATGGTATGTGCTTGAGAAAATATATTACCAGAATACTTGCACATTACCAGAATATTCAGCCAACAAAACTTTGGCCATGGTGATTTTAAGGTGGGTGTGGTCTGTTGGTGTTATTTGATCTTTCAGCAGAACCAGCAATTAACATAAAATTCATTGTAAAATCTGTTTCAGAGAGGATTATTTCAAAATGGACTAGTAATGGCATGTTTTTTAAGATTGTTTGCAATTCTAAATATGCAACACAAATTGGAAGGAAAAGACCTTTACTGCTTTTTTAAAAATGGAAACACTGTACATCTGAGTAACTTAACTTCCACTGTTAAAAATTAGTATGAAAATATAGTGGATACAACATTTCTATAAAGACTATGAGACTGTTTTTAATTAGCTGCAAAAATAGGGTTGCCGTACTACTGCTCAGCAACTTTGCCAAAAAAGGCACAACTACTTTTCTGTCCGAATTTTCACTTTTTGAAATAAGGCAACTCTTTGCAAAAATGGAGAATACTTCCAGGATTCAAGAGGAAAAACTTTCAACACACATCTGAAAATAATTTGTAAAGCATTTGAGCCTTTGTCCATTCTGAGAACAAAAGTATTAACCGAAGAGGGGAGGGGGAATTTGTTACCAAAAGGGGCATTAGCTTACCCATTTTTCCAAGAAGTTAGAATTTCCAGGGTGGTCTTTTTTCAGAAGCTGATTCCTTGTGATGTGAGAGAGCACTTCCAGCATTATTGTCTTAGCTGTTTATTTACAAAAATACATACAGTACTTAGTAAAAGAAAACAGACGTGTACAACAGACAGCACACCTGCTAATCCTGTCTCACATTCCTAATGAATACTTGCATCCCAACTCAGTTTAAATTATCCATTACAAATTGAAATTACCTTTTGATTGTCTCTCTGTCCTTTCTTCTCCCCCTGCACCACAGAGTGACATTCTCAGGCCTGTAGAATCCAGACCATTAAGAACCATCAAAAGCTCCTGTTGGCTATACAAGCAGAACCATCATGCTTGATAGTCTTCCTTATTGACCTAACTCATAACAACATAAAGAGATGATAGCCATTTTGAGAACTAGTATACCATTGTGGCAGGGACGCGGGTGGCGCTGTGGGTTAAACCACAGAGCCTAAAACTTGCTGATCAGAAGGTTGGCGGTTCGAATCCACGCAACGGGCTGAGCTCCTGTTGCTCAGTCCCTGCTCCTGCCAACCTAGCAGTTTGAAAGCACGCCAAAAAAGAACAAGTAAATAAATAGGTACCCGCTCCAGCGGGAAGGTAAACGGCATTTCCGAGCGCTGCTCTGGTTTGCCAGAAGCAGCTTAGTCATGCTGGCCACATGACCTGGAAGCTGTATGCCGGCTCCCTCAGCCAGTAAAGCGAGATGAGCGCCGCAACCTCAGAACTAATGGTCAGGGGTCCTTTACCTTTATACCATTGTGGCATAGACAGATCTGTGTACCAGGAAGTCCCCAGGTGACAATTTGCTTTTGCCAAAGACTCAGTGGGTAAATGTTTGAAAATCCCCCCCCAAGGCCCCACCCCAGAACCTGCAATGTGAGAATAATGATATGGACATACCTTATGGAATGTTATGGCAGAATGCCTTGAGGAGACTGACATATATTACTGGCAGAGCTAGTTCCCACACCATTCCAGTATGATGGGTGACGCTCCTGCTGGAAGGAACTATAGAACTGGCTCTACCTAGCAGTTCTCTAAACATTGCAAGACAGCAGTATGGGATGTTGTCTTGGAGACCTGACTCGGAACCCATAGTAGTATTGTGGTATTTGTGTCAGTGGCAAAACATTCAGAAAGCAGCTTCATAAATGTGCTACATTGCGCCATCAAGACAGTGGAATATTTGTAACCACTTATACTGGCGCACTACAAATTCACCTGCATTTGAACAAGCAGAAAATGGTGGGTTTGCAGTACGGTGTGTAATAAACAAAAATCTGCCCTTCTTCCCTTATGGGGAACACAAGAGCCCTTACAGAGTCCTTTGTAGGTTCTCCATCGGTCGGAGAAAATAACAGAGGCCAACCAGAGAATATTGAGAAGCAAGGCAGCTAGTAAGCCTGATCTTTATTGAAACTGTTGCAACAGGGTGCTTCCCCCCCACGCAGGAGAGAGGAGGAGGACCCCGAACAAAGGTGTGCCCGCCCTTATATAAATATTTTAATTGCCTGCCCTGGAGTCCAAGACCACCCCCAGAAACATCATACATATATCACAGAAACGATGGTCTACAACAGAAATCTGAGTGCATTGTTTATCTCCTGTCTGACAGACCTGTTAATTCTTACTTGATTGGATACCCTGGGGAGCCTGGCCAGTCTTTTGTAATGACAAATACTTAGTTCCTGAGCCAGGTCACAGGCTCACCCTGTTCATACACAGACATACCCTTAAGACAGGATTTGTGAAGGCAAACACAATGGGAAGGCTTTTCCATTTTCTTTTGGCCTTGCAGAGAAATATTTGAGGTCAATTTGGGAGGGACAAAATGGTTTCAGGACTTTTTCTGTGGAGTTTCAGACATGAGGTTTATATATGCAGTTATGAACATTTATCTCATATATATATATATATATATATATATTTGTTGTTGTTGTTTAGTCGTTTAGTCGTGTCCGACTCTTCGTGACCCCATTGACCTGAGCATGCCAGGCACTTCTGTCTTTCACTGCCTCCTGCAGTTTGGCCAAACTCATGCTGGTAGCTTCGAGAACACTGTCCAACCATCTCATCCTCTGTCGTCCCCTTCTCCTTGTGCCCTCCATCTTCCCCAACATCAGCGTCTTTTCCAGGGAGTCTTCTCTTCTCATGAGGTGGCCTAAGTATTGGAGCCTCAGCTTCAGGATCTGTCCTTCCAGTGAGCACTCATGGCTGAACTGCTTTTAAGTGACACGCAAACAAGATGTTTACAGGGATGACGAGGCTGCCATGTCCACCAGCCAATGTCGCTCTGGAAATGTCCTCATCCCCGAGTTAAAGAATCTCAGGATGTGAAAGACCTTTGCCTACCATCCTGCCATTTGAAAACCTCTGCCACTCCCGGTTAAAGTTGATGGGAGCTATGCAGAAATGGTGAAACTTACCAGAAGAATAAGAAATCAAGATAACAAACTTTTTTTAATGATAAAAGAATGGAAATGGTTTATTGAATATTTACAGATAAATTGTAAGCAGATAAAAACATTGGCAGGATTACTGTAATAACCTGCAGTTTCATAAGTTTATATATTTAAAGAAGATGAATAAATGAGCAAATTAATTTGGATATGCAGAAGATATTAAAATTTAAGAAACAGCAGAAAGAGGGGGAAGGAAGTCAAGTTCTTAAATGTCAAAATAATTGTAAAATTAGTGAAATGTATAAACTTGAAAAGTATAATTTTAAATTAATATTGCAAAAAAGGTTGATGAGAGTTAGATCAACCAACGCGCCACGAAATGGACTGGCTACTAATTGGTGCTTCTTATCTTATTTCCCCTCTTTACGCGGAGGGAAAGTTGCCTCTTTTTATTTTTATCATCATCACGATTTATTAAATGCGTATACCGCCCTCTAGACCAAGATCTCCGGGCAGTTCACAGCAATACAGTACATAGGAATATACTGTAGAGACAAAGAGGCGCATCGGTGAAAGAGCCAGCGGCGCGCCCGGCCCAGGGGAGGCGCGCGCGGAGGAATGCGCAGCCCGCGGAGCCGCTCTCCTCGAGGCGGGCCTCCCTTCTCGCTGCGGCCCCGTGATCGCTGCTGGACGGCGGGGGGTGACCATGCTGCTGGCGCCGCTGCTGGCGAGCGGGCGGCTCCTCCTGGTCCGCGGCAAGGGGCTCCGCGTCCCGGTGGCCACCTTGTCCTTGGGCGCCCGGCGCGCCAGGAAACAGCAGGTAGCGAGCCTCGGGCGC